CTAATTCAAATGTGTTGTGTGACAACTAGAATAAATCTCACTACACATCAATTCAGTTGAGAAATTTTAACAGACTGTTCGAGTGAAATTAATCACAAATTCGGACTCTCCATAGTCGGTTACTTTCTAAGCAAAAAGTTTTGAAGCGGAGTATTCCAGAAAAAGTTTTATCCATTGTTTTGCAAAACAATTTTATCCGAAGTTCCCGGACCAAGGGCTGAATGAGATTAAGAAATTTTCCTAAAGTACAATTTATTGCGTTCAAGGTAATCGACTCTGAAGAGTTCGAATCTGCACTTAGTTTTGGTCGAACACTCTTTTAAAATTTTGCGACTGAATTGATATGATCAGTGCCGTGGCGAGAGAAAAAAGCAGACGGGGTGTAATTTTTTTGTGAGAAAACCATAAATGTATGAAACACACAATACCATCTCCTATCATAATTTCAACACAGTAACTACATGATAATGATGATAACGTTGACGTGTATTTGAGCTTTTTTTTTCCTCAATGAAGAAAATTAGGAGAAAAATTTTGCTCTCAAGTATTTGGAGAGACAAAGTGGGAAAAAGTGTGTTTTCGTTAAATATTGATTAGATTGGTTACTCAATCTGGACAAGAGTTTAGACGAGCTTTCTTGGGAGGAAGGAGATTATTAAAGAGAACTTTTTTTTCTATTGATAGGAGGAGCGTATACCCCCTGGGGGGGGGGGGGGCGAATACCCTCAGTTTAATTATTCTAAAAACGAGATCTATGATTCTTGAGATGAGAATGGGTGTAATCAAGATGCTGATTTACCAAGTGAAAAATATTTTAGCTTCACTGCTCCAGCTGACAAATATTTTTATAATGTCAATGATACGATAATTATATACGCTATGTATAATAGCAGCAGTGCTTTGATCAATTTAGTGCGGTATATTTACTTGCGCCAGAGTTGTAACCGGACCGGTTGAGTGAGTTGGACCTGCCGGTTTTCACCGGTTTTTACCGGTTTCACAAAGTTGTGCATATTCGTTCATTTTTCGTCAGAAAGATACTATGTATGAGTGCTTAGTAGTTTTTTTAAAGGAAAGAGAGAGTGACAATTTTATTTGAAATGTAAATTTTTTCTTTTTATTCTTTCAATTTGTTTTCAAAGACAAAGTCATATTATTTATTGTTTAAAATATCTTAGCAATCGGAACATTGTCACGTATTGGCGTTTATATGCTTTTATCTTTTTTCTTTAATGTTAATCTAATTTTTTACTTTCGATATGCCGATACCGTAGCTTCCTAACCCAAATTCGTCTTAATTGGCTTTGTTATTTGACATAGTGAATCTCTTCCCAAATTTATTTTCAAATTATTCGTGACGTTTCGTCATTCGACAAGTGACTGCTTGAGACGGACTATTACATTCACACACTACAAATTTTGTCCCTAATATCAATGTTATTACTTGAAAAAACTTGATGAACTCGCCGGTTTTTATCGGTCTGGAAATATTTTAGACCGGCCGGTGACTGGACGAACCGCACCGGTCTGGTATTTCCAGACTGGTTACAACTCCGACTTGCATGTTATCCGTGAAAGTTTCGCTCTCTGATCAAAATGAAAAGTATCCAAATATTTCATTTTCAACAGTTTCACTAGACTATCTTATCTCCAGCAAACTTCCTGTCTCTAAGAAATGTATATACGACTTAAAACCAGTCTTAAAAGTCCAGCGGGTGATATTGACATAAATCGAGTAAAAAAATAATTGCCACCTGAACAATTTGAAATGATTCAAAATTTTTGCTATCTTAACAGTGGTTTTCTCGGAAAGGTCGAATTTGCACGAAGTCTCACAATATTTTCTACCATTTACCTGTACAAACGGGTAAAACACGTAAATATGAATTTTATTCAACGAGTTTGGAAAATCGATCTAGCTAAAATTTATCCTATGAAGAAATCACATTTTTTCAAACTCATTCTTGCGTGTTGCGGCAATCCTAGTGAACTAGGTGACAGAGAATAGTGGATGAGTTCGAGAAAATTTGATTTGTCTGAAAAAATAGGTTATCTAAATGGTGAAAATTTGGGATTGCTCGGTTTTATTTGCTCGATGCTTGTTATTCATGAGGTCGATCTGTTTAAACGTTTTCCGCTAGATTCATAATAATAGTGCTCATAATACTTCTGTATAAAAAGTGTTTCAACTTTTATGTGAAGAAACAAATCCTAGTATAAGGTAATACGGACTCGATGGTATTATCCTGTACATAACATTATTCTATATTCCGCATTAAAGTGAAAGCTAATCATCTTGAGTTTGTGTATGGAAATGCAAAAGAAATTTCTAAAATTTTCTGCTTTCTTCATTTTCAGAAATATAATGTCAGCAGAAGTTGATCAACTAGCTCCCTTACTACACAATCCCGCTTCTCCTCATTATTTAAATCGACCATCGACTATCAACGCATTTGATTCATTTTCGCCTGCTGCTCAGAAATTAGCTCGCAGTCGATCATACAATCTGAAAACACCGCCTGTACATGTTCGACCTCATACTTCCAGTGGAACGAACTATGAGACAAGTTATCAACGTGATTTTTACCTTAAAAATCATCAAGAAGAAAATTTAATCGACGTTCCTCCAAGTCAGAGATATCCAATCGGTTGTCCTTATCAACTGGGAGATCCAATTGGTATTGGTCAATACCAAGATCAATATAACGACAAGGGTTACTGCCGATCCCCGCCAATTCGCACCGGTACCTCAAGTGGTACGAGAGCAAATAATCCTCATCCATTGACAGAGTTCATGGTCTGGAGATATCCGAAAATGAGCGGAGACAATCCGTATAACCAAGACGATCCGGATTCCGATCAACAAGAACAAATCAAACAAGCACTCAAGAATCAGTTAACATCCACATATCGATCAGATTATTTAGGTAAATGAGTGTTCTAATCTATTAACCATAATTGAAGGATTAATTCATATTGATGACTATTTTAGTCTAATTCTAGAGTTACTACCTCAAACCGTACGATATACTTCATAAATTGCTTCTTTATATAAATCTTCTTTTTGCTTGCTTTTTGTCTTCTTTATCATAAATTTTCTTTTTGATTGATTCTTTATCATAAATTTTTCTTCTTTTTTGTCTTCTTTGTTCTCCTATTAGTAGAGCACTTAAACATCTTTGAATATTTTCGTGGAGCGATTGTTCATTTAACACGGAACCTCTTTAGGTTATATATGCGAAAAATAGTGTATAAAAACAGTATAACAAATCGATATATTCAACTTCTTTACGGGTGTTTGTTATTTTCGCACATACTTTCACCCAGGTGAACACTGCTAAGAAAAAAAGAAAAACATCAATAACAATGACGTGCCTCACGCGATTTTGTTCTCTTCATGTTTCTTTAAGAGACAGCAGTCTGCTATCTCTTCATTTGTTGAGTTGAATGTAAGATGAACATTTTTGAGCTTTTTTTTATTTAATACTAAAGTAAGGTAGCACGCTTGTACCCCATAATGTAGTGAAGTGGCAAGACGCTACATACCTACAGTTTACGTTACAGTGTTTTATTCCATCTTTTACGGATACACATAAAATTTAGTTACTCTGTAATTTCTCTTAACTACTCATATGCAGAAGAACAATACCCTGTCTTGAAGGTTATCGCTGTTGGTATAAAGTGCTGGAAAGTTACACTTGTCAGGGTCAAGTAGCTCACCATCTTTTTCACAGTTGACAATCCCCGACGATGATCGTTCAGTGCTCTGGTCGGATGTCCAGTCTGACGCAAAGTTCTTTCGTCTAATCGCTTGAGGTGTCCATATACATTTACTAACCACGTAGTAGCTGTTTGACAAGCAAGCCGAACTATATTGTAAAGCCCCTTCCCATGTGATAACGTAGTACGTATGATGATTATATATACATATGTAATGGGAATATAAGTGACCAGCCTAACAATAGAAACCTCGACATTCGCAGTCGCTGTGTCTAATTGATTACTGGTTCGCTTACTATCTGTCACTATGTATGTATAAGTAACTTGTTCAAGGTTCGAACCCAGTATCGTAGTAGTTCAATATCAGCTACATGGTCACTAAACCAAGTTGTTTAATGGTTATGTTTTGACAAAATCTTTCATAATTTTACCAACTCAGAATTATTGTATTGAAACTTATATTTCATTATTCACGGTTTAATCTATAGTAAGAATGCTATAATTACAGTCTTTTTTTGTAAACCGAGTTTTCACCGTTAACGAACCGTTTCATGAACGTTTATCTAAAACGTTTTTAGGATTCTATTTTTATTTTTGTTCATGATACCATTTTGTAGTACCAGTTCTACAGTTCATTTTTTAAAAGAATGTGTATCGCTACCGAGAAAATCACTTTACTCCAGACCCAGCTAATGAAAAAACTTGATTTGAACACCTATATCAGATAAAATATCCCATTTTTGCCTATTTTCACTAAAAATTGAAAAATTTATAATTCAATCAAAAACAATGCACTCAATTGTTAATTAGTAGCATAAAACAGAGTTTAGTTAGACACGATAGGAAGTAAATAGAACAGATGGAAATAAACACAATAAAAGAATTGAATCATTTTTTAAGGTGAGAAATTTTAAAATAGATGATAAGATACAAACCACCTTTATCATATATGATACAGGTGGTTTATGTCTCATTATCTATTTTACAATAAAAGAAAATTTATAAAAGGAGCTTATACATACTGACAAAAATATTTTTTTCTGTTTTTATTTTCTATTAGAAACAAGAGGTGTGAAGCAAAAAAATGCCATAACAGATTTGTAAGGCTTCGTGATCAAGTATGGAACCGTTTAAGGGTTTCGTATCAACTCTCTTTTTTTAAATTTTGATTTGAAGGTTTCGTTCAAGCATTGGAAAGTCCTGCTTCGTACTGCGCTTCTGTAGCTCGAGGATAGTCATCTGGAAATAAAAGTAGCGGCTTGCGAAGGCAAGAATCAATGGGTTAATTGGTTAAAAAACATGAGAATTAGGAAACAGTAATGGAATGATAGATAGACTGAGCGTGTTTATTTATAAAAAGAGCGAGAATACAAAAACTTTAAGGATTCCCTACGGATCATGAATCCTTAACAGTTTGGTAAGGATCTTTTTTTAGAGAGAAGGATATAAGTTAATGACACGACACGCTCATACACGTTTAACAGCCGTGAAAAGGAATTATTCGAAAAACATCCCAGTTAATAGCTTGATAGTCATAAGTAAAAAATTCTTTGACTATAGTTCAATACACCGTTTCAATTTTGATCTCAATCTAACTTCAAATTCATTCCCTGAACAACACTGACAGTTACTTAATAACCGGATACTCATTTTTAGAAGAAATACATTTAAAAATCGAAGGTTAAACGAACGATTGTATCGTTCCATCGCACTCTCTAAAAAAGAATACCATGACTTTTCTTGCTAGAAAAATAAAACGGTTTAGCTTTAGGTGACAACTGTTTAAACCTTTTTTACTACGAAACCTTTTTGAAAGTTTCGTAGTTAGTACCGAACCCTAGAAAGACTCGGTACTTGAACGACGATTTTGCACTGGATTAAGGAATCCTTCATGGTTTCGCTTAAACGCTCAATTCATTAATTAAAAATCTTCAAACGTTTTCGTGAAACCATCTTGAGTTTGGTTTACTTATTAAGAAGGTTTCACAATAAATCTCTGAGATTTTTTAATAAAAAAAATTAAAAGTTATAAAAAAATTCAAACATTTATCACTAAAAGCTAAACCGTTTTATTTTTCTGGAAGGAAAAGTCATGATAGTATACCTTTGGTTTTTAGCGAATATCCACTAGCTGGTTTGTTTCTGCGCAATGTTCTTTAACGCCCTAGACAAACATTTTTCGTTCTTTCTGGTAAGAATCTTATCCGATTCTTACATAAGAAGTCTGCACGAAAAGGGCAAAGTTTTCGTACGAATCCGATAAGAATCAGATGAGATTTATATAAGAATGAGCTATGACTTTGATAAGACGCTCCTATCACTTTCTTATCACTGCCTTATGAAATTCTTACTAAAAGACAATCACCGTTTTATTTTACAGAAGCACATACTATACAAGCACCACTGATTTCTTCGAAATTTTTTCAAACTTTCTTCAAAGTAGGTAAGACTGGTCGTTTTAAAAATGCTTCGCAACCTCTTACACACTCACTAATGAACTATACAGCTAACTAAAGAAGGAAAAAAAATATTGAAAGTTTTTGTTATTTCTTGCCCTTTTCTTGTCGAATTCTTACAGGATTCTTAACTGATCTTTATCTACTTTTTATCAAATTCTTGTCACTTTCGTGCGGACTTCTGTAAGAATTCAATAAGAATCTGATAAGATTCTTATACGGGTCGTAGTAGATTGTTATAAGTTTCTTATCAGATTCCTGTCAGATTCTTTTGTAAGAATCGATCACTAAGGTGTGTCTTCAGATACTTACAAACGCTGGTTTCATCGAGTGCTAATGATTGGCCTAAGAGTATCGAGTAGAGGTAGACTAGAGTCAATTAAATCTCTGGCTGCTGATTATCATCTTGAATTCTAATTGTTTCTAATGACATATTTAGTTAATCTCATGCTTTAGTGTCATCTGTCAAAACGTCTGATAACTCTCCTTGGAGTTCAATTTTGAACTTCATCTATCTGATTTATTTTTGATTATCATGTTTTATTTTATAACGTATAGAAGTGTGTGCATTTATGTTCAGATAAATATAGATCGACTTTTACTTAATGTAAAATGTACTTAGCAGTTGTACAATAAGAAGAGGAATGTCGCAATACACTCTATTTTACATGTTCAATTTCACCCTGTAGTCTTACTTCTGAAAGTTTCTAGAAAATACTTTTCAAATTATTATAGTATTTTCTGTTGATTTTGTTGACATAACAGTTAAATACCACTAAATTTAGTTATTTCTACTATGTTTTGATACAAGAAAGATGTGCTCAGATCTTGATTATATACCAATGGGAATCAAAGACGTTAATATCATTAACGTTCAAAAGTTATTCAGAAAATAGCGACACATTCTTTGAAAGGATGGATAGTAGAACCATTACTATCTTTAGTACTAAACCCACGTCTAAAGGGTTCCTTCTCCTAATAAAGTTTTGATGACTTAAACATTTACGGGAAAGAAAATTTTTTTTTCGAAATGAGATTAGTGTTATGCATGTTATTCTAGTAGTGATAGCAAAACAAAGGTAAATAACTTGTCATCAAAATGGTTATAAAACATCCATAGCAGTTGTTTTAATATTTAAAAATGGGATAGCAAACAAGAAAATAGAGCACTTTCTTCATGCTCTTGGATGTTCAAAAATAGAGAGTACTGCTCTATTAAAAAAATATGCAGAGCGAGAAATATGACTGATCAAAATCGACTCCAATGTATGACTCATCCAAATTTTTCATGGCCGAATATGAAGTGGATGTATTTTCTATGTACTTTTTCAGAGAAGATATATTTTATTGTGCTCTTCTTGGAAACCTTTTAATGAACGGTTAACTCGATGCTTTCTTTTTTGTCATGTGTATAATATAGCAGTTTTTTGTATAATTAATCGGGCGATGGAATAATTTTTGAGTAAGACTGTTCAGAACACTGCAATACAAACTCTAATAATTCCGTGATATCTTGATTATTTTAGGAATTCCTCAAGGTTTTCAAATGAATTTGGCATTCTCAAAAAGTCGTCCATTTTGGCGTACGCGAGCATGTTATTCTTATGACAGTGAGCAACGTGATCAATACCGAGCTGAACATCAACTTCCTAATTTGTTGAACAACACATCGAGATATGGATGTAATCCCCAACATAAAATATCCGCTGATGCTATTGCCCCACAAACTTTGCCTTTGTGGAAACAAATACAAACAAAGACAAACTATGATCAGGAATTCAACGAAAAAGCTCCATCTGATACGTATATGCGAGACTTTGTCGATCATTTGACGGGTCCATCGGAGACGGAAGGCGAAGACATTGAACAGTCGTACGATCGCGGTCAAGCAATGGTTGACATCAACACGGTAATGAAAGCAGTCGATTTGGCAGAACAATATCCGAGTGAGCCCACTGTTCACGTTCAGGTAGAGCCAATAGTACCACCGAAAGACGAAATCGTTAAACATCGATCACCATCTGGCTACAGATTCAAAGTTGAAAAAAGAGTAATCACCGAGAGACCACCATCACAAGAACAACAACTAGAACAAGAATATCAGCAACACTATGCAGGTAGGATAGCCAGATAGATTCAACTGAAAAGAGAGTTACTCAAGTTTCCCATTCGTAGCTAAGTCTCCTTCCAGAACAGAACGACATGGCCTTCGAACGGGTGGGCCAGATAAAACCGGCCACTTTTGTTATTTTTTTTCAGACACTTTCCAGTGGTTCAAAGAGTTGGTTCTAGGCTTATTCTGTAGAGAATTCAAGTCTCTACAAAACCTGCTATTTGAATCTCTAAGAGTGTTTTTCTCGTTTGAACACTATTCAAAATATTGAAGGGTGCTGAAGTTGTCGAACTGCGACGTGCTTTTGTTGTGTCGTTCTTTTTAGATTTTTAGCCAATTGTCTGAGGTTCAATAGTTAATTTTTCTACGTAGAAAGATAGAACTTTGCACCCTATCGATCTCACTCATTTACAGCTTCATGCAATGTTTTCACTACATTATCTGTCTCATGATTAGTTCTCAATGGGCTTTTCAATTTTTTCAGATTAAATTAACTTTTTTAATTAACGGTTTCGATTGAGAAACTTTGTTTACATATCAAAAGACGCTGAATTTGATTCTGTGTAAGATAATAAGACTAAAATCCTGGATTCAGAACGTTTTACAGCTTGTGTAGCCAAAAAACTAAAGTCTTTAAAAAATAGGTTCAAAAGTTACGTTTTTTTAGATTTATCAGCTTTTGCACAGAGAAATTTTCCTAGAACATTTAACTGCAAAATTTCGAAAAATATGTGAGAAGATGCAGAATTTTTCGGTAAATATTATGATGTTTTTAAAATTCTTATGGAATCTATTTTTCGATCAAGAAAAATACTTTTCTATTTTCAGTGTGTCGCAATTCGACGATCCAGCATCCTTCAATATTTTGAATGATACTCATACGACAAAAATATTCTCAGAGATTCAAATAGCAGGTTCAAATCTTCAGAACTAAGATAATACTTTTTATTAATTTTACGTACAGAATCAGAATAAGCGGATAAAATAGAGTATTTCCTGACATTCTGAAGTAGACTGGATAGATTTTGACTAAGTTATGAATTTTTTAATTTTTGATAAAAATAATCAAAAATGGGTTATTTCATCTAATATAAATTTTCACTCGATTATTGCATTTTGTTCTGAAAACTAACATTGCCACGATATTTACCATCGGCGAAAACATATTTTTGCAATCATTTTTACTGGTCCCAGTCCTTACAGAAAGGCAGTACCGGTGCTTCGGAGAAAAGCCTTGCTACACCCGAACCATGGATTTTGATGATGTCACTTGGATCCAGTTTTATAGAGGACAGTTCGGACTATAAACACATCGGGAAAAATCCGCATATTTCTATATCACTTCTGGGCGCTACAGTCTTGTTTTTCAAAGATCCTCTGAAAATTCGGTCTTCGAAATTTTCTCGAAAATTATTTTGCTTGTACAAAGATGCGTACAAGTGTTGGCTATCAAATACCGAAAACCGCAAGTTTCTATCTCATTCTTGCCAAAGTTATTCAAAATCTAAGCGACTGCCTTGTATTTTGAAGCCAATAAATATGCGGTATCGTTTAAATAACTACTTCTCCTATTTATTATTATAGCTTTGATAAAATCAAAAAATGGCGAATTAAACCAACAACTGCCACAAATAGATAATCAAATACGCCATTCATCCGGTTTGGCAAGTTTAAAACGTGCTCGATCATTACAACATGTTAATTCTCGTTCGCGTTATTCTGATTCAAATAAATCGCATATCATGTCTTATATGGAACAAAATCCGAATGACGTACCGACATCTGACGGTTTCTTCACTCAAACCATGGGTAATGTTCGTTCAAGCGATAAGCATGCAAGTATCCCTCTATGGAAAACAAGTTTAAACTTGAAAGATCGACATTACGTTAAAAATGCGACGAATGGACTCAATATGATTATCGTTTGAAATTACATTTCCATCTTCCGTCTCAATATCGTTTGCCTATATGACTGATAATACTTCCTCAATAAAAAAAAAATGCATGTGCTTGAAATATTCATTCGACACTATAATGATAACATTATTTGAATTCAATCTTGTTTGATAGAATAGAGAGCGAGATTTATTTACATTAAAAAAAAATTTTTGTAATGTTGATCAAACTTTATACATTGTTGAAACAAAATAGATCTAATTAATTTGACTAAATGATGTTTGATAAAGAGGATATGTTTGAAAACTTTATTTGAGAGTTTTTATTAAGCAGAGATAACATGATTAAGATGTGTTTCATATAAAAGTATCTTATTTTTGTGTTTATTATTCATTTTAGGCGTTAAATATTCTGTAATAACAGTGTAAAATACTATAAGAATAATTTAAAAGGTTAATCCAACGGATGAAAAACTCCCTAATTTTTTTTTCTTCGACTATTAATGTATTTGTGACATTTTGATTCAAATGTACTTTTATGTTGACTAATGCGGGTCATTCTTTTTAAAAAGAATACCTCTAGTTATAGGATTATTTAAATACTCACTTTAAAATATATATACAAGATGATTAGAAGCGACTGATAAAAACAAATTTCGGAAGTTTTAAAACTTGATCAAATATTCAGCAATACATTTAACGTAAGTTTAAACTAAATTAACAGACGGATTTTGATATTGGCAACTATTCATATTTTCTGTCATTCTAAGTGGAGCCTATTTTCACTAAAATTTGAGTGAACAATAATTGCAGTTGATGACGTTAGATCATTTATTTTACTTAAACTAATATCTGTTCAGCAAAGAGCATTGTCATAATGAAAAACCAAAGTTGTGTTTCAACGTCAAACAAATGTAAATAGAGAAAGAGAATTGACACACATGATAAGAAACACAGTATATTTTTATGCAAAAACTATGTTTTTCAACTATTCTTGTAGCGTCGAAAGTTGACCTGTCTTCATAATGGAGCAGATTATAAACCAGGACAGTACAATACCATCGGAGGTCATTCTCTCGGTGGAAAAAATAGATCGATCTAGTTCAACGGCATCGACAAGTTCGTTAGCGCTTCCTTTACCTGAAGAACTTTCTACATCTCTCGTTATTCGCACTGCTCGTAAAATGAAACGTTTGAAACCGATTAATTTTTCCATTCTACGTTGGAATTTATTCTGGTTATTCTTGATTTGGGTAGTTGTTGCTTTGCCCATCTGGCTCAGATATGCATCGAACTGTTTGGTGACATTTTACGTTATTTTGGTCGTTCAATGTTGGCTAGATCTTGTTTGGCTATTGGCTATTTTGTTCAGTGTTTACTACTTGGTAACGTTACATTATGGAATGAAAGCAGATCATCGTCTCAGATATCCACAAAATTCTCCAAAAATCTACCATTTACTAATATTAACAATATATAAAGATGATATGGAAGTTATTTATCGTACAGTCGATTCAATAGCAGCACAAAGTGAAGCGTCGTCAGTCATTATGGTTTTAGCGTGGGAATCAAGAACACCTGATAGAGAGCAGAGAACTTCATTAATGCAAGAGAGATACAAAGATGTATTTGCTCATTTATTATTTACCGTTCATCCATACGGTTTAGACAATGAAGTGGCATCAAAAGCAGCAAACGCTAACTGGGGATTAAGAGAAGCTGTTAAATTTATGTTTGTGGATCAAAATCATCAAAACATTGATCATTTCATGGTGACAACTTGTGATGCTGACACACTATTTCATCCAAAATATTTCGAATCACTCACAGCAGACTATTTGGTAATGTTATCAAAACAAGACGCTAATATTCATCGAACAATTTGGCAAGCACCTCTCTTCTATAATTGGAATTTAGATCAAAGTTCATTTATTACTAGAATAACGGGTCTTCTACGAACAACAATGACAATGGGACTTCTCATTCCTTACAATGTCAATCCAATGTCATGTTTTTCGTTTTCATTAACATTGGCCATTCGAGGTGGATATTGGCATCCTCAAATATTTATGGATGATGTTGGATATCTTCTGACAATGATGATCGGTACTCAACAACGAATTCGAATTCGATGTTTACCAGTGCCAGTCAGATCGGGACCTACTTCGGGTGAAACGTGGCTAAAAGATATGCACGAATGGTATATACAAGTGAGACGATGGGGACTTGGTAAGTACTATAAATGAAATAGAGATAGTATTAAAATTTGCTCTAATCTTAATATCAATATCGGGCAAGGATATAGAAGATCTCGAAAAAAGAGACTATATGCATTTTTATGATCTTGAATGAATTCTACCCATTTACATTTTCTTTAAGCTTTCCCAGTTTGTAGAGGACACTTCGAATTATATGCTGTTATATTATGAATATTATAGCATATTCGAATTACATACTATGTCAGAAGTTTACCGGCTTACTAACATTATCTGGCTGAGAAAAAAATTAATTACTTAGAAAAATGATGTTAAAGTTTTGAGAAATTTCCTGTCCGTTCCTGTTTCATCATAAAAATTTGATTATTTTTGTATAATAGTGTTTTTTTACAAATTTAATATTGAGACAATTAAACTAACAAGTTTAAACATTTTTTTGCAAGTTTCGAAAGCTTGTAAAAAAATGTTAAAATTGTTAGTTTAATTGTCTCAATAAAAATTTGATTCTTGTCTAGATTAATAGAGAAATGTGTGGGGAATAGAAATGTAGGGGGGAATATTTACTAATAGAAAAGAAAGAAAACGGTTTTGTTCTTTCCTTCTTGTTAATAACTAATCACTAGTACTTACCGTTTATTCACATTACTCCTCTCATTTGTAAAATAATGACTCATTCAGTCTCATTTATAAGATAATGACTCATACAGTCTCATTTGCAAGATAATGACTCAACAAAAAAACAATTCAAACAATATCATAACTGATAGAGAATTTCACAGGCTACAATGCAGACTATCTCAAAGTGTATTTACATTCCAAACTTTTATGATAAAATAGAAATGGACAGGAAATTTTTTAATAATAGTCCTGTGCTAAAAAAGTTAACATCTTTTTTTTAAATAATAAATTTCTTCTCAGCCAAATAATGTGAATAAGCAGAAAAATAAAAAATTCAGAACATATTTGTTAAACTTTCAAGGACACTTAGAATATAAGTCAAAAATTAAAATTTTCTCTAATTTTTAGCAGAGAGAAAATTTTTTCAAAGCATCTTGCCAAAGATTTCGTCCGAAATCATTTTAGAGTAAAAATGTGGCCAGAAAAGTTGTTCAGAATCGAATTCTCTGGAATATGAGTGAGGAATTCTTTAAAATTTCTTAAAGTCGAAAAAATACGCTTTTTCAAGCTTTAAAATTTGATAAATTTTAATTTACAAATTGAGTTTGATGAGCTTTAAAAAATTCTCCTCTCATATTCCAGAGAATTTGATTCTGAACAACTTTTGTAGCTACATGTTTGCTCCAAAATGCTTCATTCGAGCGAAATCTTTGACAACGTTTTCTTCAAAATAGTTTTAGCCTTGAAATTCTATGCGAAAGTAAAATTTAAATTTTTCCCTCAAATCTTATCCGGGAACGATAAAAATTTTCCAGTATCTAAAGTTTGATTTTCCTCTATTGAATGACGCCAAAAGGAGATCTTCATCTTGGAAAGTATACATTTTATTTAAATTTTAAAAACCTTGAATGCATTCTCCATTTTTAATCACAAATTTTTTAAGTTTTGCGTAGGCATGTATCGGTTAAAAACTAGTATTCCACGAAAATTGTTACACGTCGCCTATAAAGAATTACTGTGTGTCGCGGAACCTCTCGTTTTATAAAGAATGTTTGAACTACAGTTCCGTATAAGTAGAAAAATTTCAAAATTATGTGTAATACAAATATGAACATTCTAAAACGCACTAAATTCAGAAAAAAAACTATTCGAACAGTTTTTTCTTCAAACTTTAGTACATTTTAGAATGCTCACATTTTTGTTAGAAATAACTCCAAATCTCTTCTCACAGTTGAGTTTTCAAGAGCAGACATTTCTCTACAAAATGAGACTTTCCGCGACTATGAGTAATTCTCTATATGCGACTTATAACAATTTTTGTGGAAGTTCTAATACCAGTTTTTAACTGATGCATGCCTAGTTTTAAGTGTTTCTTAATAATAACACTAATTTTGGTTTGAATACTGTTAAGTGGAAAAGACGAACAGTATAACTTTGAAAATAAACTATAAAAAATAAAAGACGATTTTTGATATATTCAAATAAAAAGTTATTGTTAATTTTTAATCTTTTTTTTGAGATGATTCTATAAAGTTCACATTTAATAGAAAAAATTTATTGTGATTTTCTTTTTAATTAGTTCGGAAAAATTAAATTTTTTACAGATATATAAAAATGATTCTTTGAATCCTCAACGTTGATTTGTCCAAACTTAATAATCATCGATAAATTCCTATATACACAAAAAAGAAAAATTAACAGTGAATTTAGATGTGCAAAATTAGAAAAAATCGTCTATGCGATTTTCTGAATGTTGTCTCTGTTCGAGTTTTCATCTTTTCCAAGAGATAGATGTGAAAGAGAAAAGAAACAGTGAATGGAAACGTTTTTACTTTGATTTTCTGTTGTTTATTTTTAAAACAAAACTTTGTCGACACAACAAAAACCGTATACAATTTTTCACAGATTAGAAAATATTTCTAGTTTTACATTCTATGATGATGCGATCAGAATAGAAAATCGAGTGAATATTTTAAAAATAAAAGACATTTTTTATATAGCTTTCTTAAACATAGATACATAAATTGATATTTTCGTTCTATTCTAGGTACGGCTGATAATTTTCATTATTTTATGGTTAAATTTCTCACATTGCCTCTCACCGCTTCTATCATATTTTTTATTGGCTATTTTCTTTACTATGGTGTTATTTTATGTTCGGCGTCATTATTCAATGCTGTCTCATGTTTCTATCCTTTGATATGTGAAGATTTAAAAATCAATTGGATTTCAAACATTTCTATCCACAATTACACACCAACACCATTTCATATTCTACTCTTATGTGGACTTATTTTTCCATACTGTCTCTATGGTTGTATGTTTATATTAGATGGAGTATGGTGCAGATATATTCTTAATGTAAAAGAAGACATTTTTATTCTACGTAACATAATTCACTTTCTTCTTACAGCTCCATCACTATTGATGTTGAGTTATGTTCAATTTTGGTCATATCATGTTTTAGCTGCACTAGGAAAAAGTGCATGTATACACAGAGTGGCGGGAAAAGCGACTTTAGCTAATATTGGACAAACTAGAAACTAAGATTTTTTCCTTATTTTTATTATTATATATTTCTATCGATTTTGTTAAAGAATTAAAGAATGGGTAAAGCTGATAAAACATTTTGTCTAATGATTGTTATTTTTGAATGACGTTGAGAAAAAAGCTAACTCGTCTCGCCTTTTTTGAATAAGAAATAGAATTCATTTACACAGTTTATTATGATGTATTTTAACAGATTTAATATCAACAATATTATTCATTTAGTAGTTAATTGTTAAATATTCTCATGTAAAAAAATATTGGATAATTAAACGTATTTCATTATGCATATAAACTTGATGTGGAAGTTTTTTCTCATATTGTTTACTTCAAATTCAACTGGATTTGTCTATTGTTTTTTCATATGAGTAAATAAGGGTATCAATCTTTTTAAAAGCATACGGCAACAATATTTTTCTTCTAATGATTGTATTATTGAAACAAAAGCTTCAAATTGCCTATAAGAAAGCTAATAAATAGACAAGTAAATTCAAATAATTATTAATAACGAACAATGAACTCTAAATTCATTAAACATTACCATAAAAATAATATACTTCCTTTCGTACTACATAAGATAGACTATGTGCGGACATTTTTTCGTCTCAATGTCATCAATAGAAAACAAAGAGAACAGAAAGATATGCATGTGCGAAAAGAGATGACCTGTTATTTGCTAGTTCTCTATTTTTATTTTTATTTTCGACTATTCATATCAAGTCAAAAATAACACGTTTTATGCTATTATTTATTCCAAAATATAATTATCATTATTTTTCCTTTTTTTTTCTTTTTGATTAGAGACAGCTAGCGAACTGCAGTTCTCAGCGTCCGACCTTGAAGCATCTATTCATAAAAAAAGATTACCAGAAATTTGGGCGCAAAACACTTGGGCGCATGTACGACAAAAGCATTCAGTAAGAGTGCATTTCTTAAAGTATGATGTTTCTTTAATCTTCATCAATACTCACACTCACCCTCACCCACCCCGGCACCTTTGAAGTTCAACTATCGTTGCGCCCAAATGTCATTGCACCCAAATGTCGTTCGCGCCTAAATGTCGGTATATCATAAAAAAAAGGTCAGTTTGAAAATATGCTCTGAAAAATCGGCTCAAAACGGTAACTAGTGCAGAAATTTTGGCTTGTATTTATTTTACGATGCAGCAAGTTCAAACGTACTTTTCAACCAATACTGAGAGAACAACGCGAACTGATTTGTCTATATTGCTCAAGGACATGCCATCAACAAAAGAGTGAGATTCTTTGAGAAACGTACCATGTTTATATTGACTTTATACCAATCGTTTGAAACCTTCAAGACTAGTACCACTTGAGTTCTTGATGACGAATATTATATTAAAAAGCTTCAAACAACTGCAAAGTGCCCTCTCACTTCTGTGTGATGGCACGAGTGGCCTAGAGGTGCTCAGCCAGAAACGAAAATCTGTTTTTCACATAGCCCAGGTTGAGTGCATGAGAAATGTATTTTCTCTCATTTTTCGAGAATCCGTGGGATGGAGGAGCATGTGCTCAGACTTCAGAAAAATGTGAAAAATTGACTTTTTCCTAGAGTTAGTTGTATTTAAATCTCAATGAGAACCACTTCATCGGATAGAGCTATCATGATATTATATGATATGACATTCGTCATCACGAGCTCAAGTTGTACTAGTCTTGAAGGTTTCAAACGATTGGCATAAAGCATAGCCCTGCAGGTTGATCCTAACCTAACCTAACCTATAGGTTAGGTTAGGATTAGGTTGCAAAAGCTATAGATTAGGTTAGGATTAGGTTGCAAAAGTTATAGGCTAGGTTAGGTTATAGGTTGTTCTATTTTTTTTTTCAATG